ATCTATGGCAGGCATCTTCAGAGAATGCTTCTAGAACATGACCATATAGCCTGAAAAACCTACAACAACCCAGTGATTCAGGCGGTAAAAGTCTTCAACAATACTTTTGGTTTTGTTGCTGCTCGGGCTTTTTTTAATGGCTTCTGATTTTGTCAAATTTGGTATTTCAGCTACAACATTGTGATATGACCTGGTATGGGAGGTGGTCCAAGGGGGGTGAAGCCATGAATTACCACACTAGGTGATACCAACCCTAATGATGCCATTGGTTCTTCCTGATGCCCAGTAGTTCTTCCTGATATTTAGTAGAATCTCCTTTTTTGCAATTAGGATCCACATTATAATTTGGTGAAGGAGAAAGCAAAGATGATCCACTTTCAACATGAGGCACTTATATAATCTGGGTGATCTAGATCAAGTAGCCATGGGTGGCCTTGTACTCTCTGAATTTATTTAATTCCTTAATTAGATAAATTCAGAGAGTACAAGGCCACCCATGGCTACTTTTCAGGTGGACTATGTATCACTAGAGGGAAGGATATTAGAGGCAAAGATGAAGTACTTTGGCCATGAGAAGACAGGAAAGCTTGGAGAAGACAATGATGCTGAGGAAAATGGAAGGAAAAAGGAAGAGGGGCCGACTAAGGGCACGATGGATGGATGTTATCCTTGAAGTGACAGGCTTGACCTTGAAGGAGCTGGGGGTGGTCATGGCCAACAGGGAGCTCTGGTTTGGGCTGGTCCATGAGGTCACGAAGAGTTGGAAGTGACTGAACAAATAAACAACACAAATGTGTCACCTGTAAAAACAAAGGGAGAATGCCTGTTGATATATCAGTTGCTGGAGAATGCAAGCTGGAGAGTACTATTATACTCACATCTTGGTTGTGGGCTTCACTTAGGTAACTGGACATCCCTTTGGTTGTGGACTCAATATCATGCTGGACTCAATAGCATGGTTCTTCTTGGGTTACTGATGCAACATAAGATGAACATGGGGCATCTGCAACCACACTATGGTCACAATACTTGGACTAGAAGTAAAGCCATGGGAGATGCTTTGCTATGGTTTCTAAATCAAAATGAACATCCTATGCATCATCATAAGGTACAGGAGAAATCCTTCACTAGTAGAGCCAGCCCTACCATTAGGCAAGATAAGATGGCCACCTCAGGCACAAGATTTTGAATGTCAGGAAAGGTTACCACATTCTTAATCATGCAAATTATTAAGTTCCATGTTTGTAACTTCCAAGAAAAGGGGCGGGAGGCAACAGAATCTTTCTTCCTGAAGCAACAGAATCTATTGTCCAAACTAGGATAATATGCACACTGATTTTTGAAGGTGAGGAAGGGCACACTTTTCACTACATGCCCTCAGTCAGCAAAATGTCTTGGGTCAGCACTGACTGCTGAGATGAGGACTTTTAGCTTGAATTGTTAACATTTGAGTGCCTATTTTGCATTGTTCCTGGAGAGACTTACGGGGATATTCCTAAGGTTAAAAATAACAGGCACGCTTAATGTGCAACTAGTTGACGGAAATAAGCAGATAAATATGTTTACCGTCCTAACCTCCCCCTTACACTATGTTTATTTGTGTCTTCATTCCAATTGTTTCTTGTTACATAATGGTTTTGTACACAGCGGAGTACTTAAACTAATTTATATCGATCACAATTGCTCTCATTTGTGCATACTTAATTCAGAGAGGTAATCAAATTGATTTCTGGGGCCTACTTTTTAAGAGATTGTACTAACACAGATATACAAGAGGTTGCTGTAACTAAATTAGAAGGAAAAGGAAAACATTTTAAACCTCTGGAAGCCCCCTTTTGACAGTCATTTCATTGTGCTCAGCATTACTGACATAATTGAATTTCCCTTTGCTTTGAGGTCTGTTTGAAATCAGACTGAGAAACTGGTTTGGAGGGGGTTTTTTCAGCTCCATTGGGCAGATACTAGAATCACTCAATGTGCATAGAAAATAATGTAGAATATATCAATATGAAAAGATTTTTTTCCTTTGCAAAAAATATAAAGTGAATTACAAAACTATTGACTATGGAAGCGAGGCAGTCATATTTCAATGAAAAAATTCAATGAATGAGTATGGCTGTGCTTCTGACCCTACTTACAATGGAGTAAGCAGGCAGAACTCTAGATTTTTTTATTTCTGAACTCAAGTAGGGTAACTGGGAAAGTGGGTACTCCCCAGCAATTGGGCAACATGAAACCCATTGGGATGGACAAGTGATCTGTTAAGAGCAGTCTGTTGAGATCGAGAAAGAAGGACAAGGGGATAGATGTGCATTTGAGGGGTGTTAATGCTCCCCCTACAATTTTGACTTTGCTCACAGTGTGGAGCCCTCAACAGCATTGTAAACCTACTAAACATTTGTGGCAACCAACTTGAGTCCCATCTTTAAGATGTCTCATTATGAACTTACATGCAAAACACAGGTATTCCAACATCTGCAAAAGTCTGAAATACTTCTATTACCAAGCATTTCAGAAAAGGAATGCTCAACTTGTATAGCAGATGCTGAATCTGTTTGGAGGCAGTGTTTCAACACCTTGGATAGCTCCTTTAGACTGAAGCAGAATCAATGCTGTGCTGCTATTGTCACCATTAATGAACACACCACTGATTCTGATTCATATAGAGCCGGTTCCTACACCAATATAACACAAAACTTAACCGTTAGGATTTTTACCTATGCCTCCTCTCTTTCCACACTTGATTCCACTAGCTCTCCCCCCACATTCTCCCCTTTCCTACCTAATCTTCAATCACACTTCCATTTCATCAACTGTTCTTCCATAGTCCACAAGGTCCATCTAATCCAAGTCACTGCCATGCAGAATATACAACTAGACCATGCCTGAAAGATGTTCATAATATAAATAATAATAATAATAATAATAATAATAATAATGATAATAATAATAATAATAACTTTATTTATATACCGCTCTATCTCCCTGAGAGGATCTCAGGGCAGTTTCCAAATAACATCACCAAAATATACATAGTAAACACCATAACATAAAATTAACAAAACAACATAAGCATAAAATTATCACAATAACATACACATATAAAAAATAATCCTGCCTGTTCAGAGCAATTAAAAGGCCAGGCCGAGGCTAGTGCAAACTCAAAATATGAGGGGAATGGGAATTAAGTACAGTGCTATAACAGGCTAACAGCAATAGCAGGTACGGGTCTGTTGCTGCTCATTTTCAGGGCCTATTCGAGGGATTACTGGAGTAATAGGTAGGAAGTATAAGGCCATATTCAACAATGTTTGGGGCTGGGCTAGAACTGGTCATTCTCAAAGGCTTGTTGAAACCACCAGATCTTCAAGCTCTTATGAAAGGAGGGAAGGGATGGGGTCCCTCCTTTCATAAGAGCTTGAAGACCTTTAAACATAGAACTTCTGTTTAAAGACCTCCAAAGATGGAGAATCTACCACCCTCTAGGGCAGTCTATTCAACTGTCAAACAGATCCTACAGGGGGAAAAACTATTCATAATGTTTGGGTGGAATCTCTATTCTTGTATTTTGAATCTCTTGTTTTGTGCTCTGGTCCTGGAGCAGCAGTAAGCGAGATGGCTCCATCTTCTAAGACAGCTGTCATATTACTTTTCAGTCTTCCAGGCTAAACATATCAGGCTCCCTAAATAATTCCTCATAAGGCTTGGTTTCCAGAAGTTTAACTATCTTTGTCTTTGAACTGTGCTGCTCAGGAACAGACACGTACAGTTGGCCTAGAAAGGCCTTTTCCTAGGCACTTCTTCCCATAGATCTGAGAGAGCAGACTTAGTCTGCAAAAGCTTATTCTATCAACTTTGTTCTCTCAGATAGTCTCAAAGGTGCTTACAAGACCCCTTTCCATGTTTATGTTCCAAATTAATGCAACTATCCTTTGCATTTGAATGAATAAGCTTTCTTGAGACCCAGTTTTGATGGACAAATAGTTAGTAATGATGTACTGTCAAAGGCTCTACCTCTGAGGATCCTCACTACCTCTGAGGATGCTTGCCATAGATGCAGGCGAAACATCAGGAGAGAATGCCTCTAGACCATGGCCATATAGCCCGAAAAAAACCCCCTACAACAACCCAGTTAGTAATGATGATCAGCAACTGGTAAAAGACAGGGGCTCTCCAAGCTGCAGGAAGGGGAGCAGGGTCTATAAATGGGTCTATAAATGTACCATCTCCAAGGCATCTTCAGTAGTATTTGCTGCTCTACAGATAAAATTGTGTGTGCAGGGCAAGCAGATTTTTCTTCTCTCCCATCCCAGAGTTTATGAATGCATTTAAATCTTTCTTTGCAGCATAAATGGATGGGAGGGGTATGAAATAAATTCTGGAAAGAGTTGTAATTCAGTAATGGAACTAATGCTTTGTATGCAGAAAATGCCAGACTCCCAGGTTCAGCTCTACAGCACAATTGCATAATTTCATTGCAAAGAGACAAGTGCCGCTGACATCTTGAAAGAATTCGTATCAGAAAAACTACAGCGAATGCCAGTAAATTATAAAAAGATGAAATCTGTCTCAGTATAAGGCAGCTCTGTATGTCTAGGAGGGTTGGGGTAAGGTTCCCAGCAAAGTTTTAAAGTTTGCTCTTAGATATGCTGAAGAATTCTGCTATGGTGTGCACTGCATATTGCAGCAAGCCCTCTGTATCCACAGATTCTTTATCCATAGATTCAACTACCCATGGCTTAAAAATATTCCCTCCCCTCCCAGAAATAATCCAAAAAAGAAATCACAATTTTGTCATTTTATGTAAGGGACACTGTTTTACTATGTCTTTGTATATAATGGGACTTGAGAATTGATGGGTTTTGGTATCCACGGGGGGTCCTGGAACCAAACCAAGGGTCCAGTGTAGTGTATCATTCATTGGTAATGTCTCTTTATAACTGGTTGAAAAAATTCCATCAACACCAGTCTTAAAAAACTAATAAACTTATTTTCCCCAGCCTCTTGCCCTTCAAGTATACTGGACTACAACCTTCATCACCCTGGCGGCCAGGTTGTCAGTGAGCAAGGACACATCTGGACAACATCAGGTAGAGAAATCCACTCAAGACATGCAAGAGAACTTAAATACCATATATAATAGAACAGTATCATATACACACATACACACACATATATATAAATATATATGACAAAATGGGAGATGGATATTAACAAGCACCATATCAATACTAGTCATAGCAGAATTCTAACGCAGAACCAGCACAGAGTAGTGGTTTGACTATTAGACCAGGAGCCCAGGAGTCAAATCCTTGCTCAGCCATGGAAACTCCTTGTAAGCAAATCGTTCTCTCTCATTTGTTTGCCAGCCTTATAAAGGACAAGTTTTCTGTCCCTTGAATAAGGCAACTTTGGTTTGAATCACAGGAAAGGAAACATAAACCTCCCTTTTTATTTATTTCTTTATTTACTACACTTGTATACCGCCTTTCTCAGCCTATCAGCAACTTTTCTCTTCCTTTAATGGTGCTTCATTTTCCATATAATGTATTCTCCAACTTTCCTGATTTTGCCCAAGAGTCCTGATTTTTCTGTCATTCAACTTTCTCAGCTGTGTTTTAAATGTCTCCCCTTCCACTTTCTCTCTTTGTCCTCTGCTTATTTCAATTGCTACAAACAGAGTTTCAAATGCAAAGATAGTTTGTGCTCAATTAACTCAGCAGGTATGAAAGCTGAAAAGGGACAGAAACTCACTCCTCCCAGTAGGCTCAAGCAAAAGCAAATTGCTGCAGTCACTTCTTGGTTGTGTGTTTTTGTTGATAACCTTTGTCATCTTGATCACTCTGTAATATTTTTGGCCACACATGTCCCAGTTGGAGGCTATGCATACAATTTCTCAGTTGATTTTGCCAACTCTTGGTTATTCCTAAGTACAGCAGATCCACTGTTTCAATTGTTGATTGGTGAATAATTCAATGAGTCGACTGTAGTCACAACTAACAATAGTCATAGGATTGAGCCCCTTGTGAGTGCAAGTGCAGAGACTTCTGGGACAGCTCAAAGAGATAGCTTAAGAAGCATGAACTTCCTTGCCCTCCATTAATCTCACAACAGGATCAGCTAATATGCGAACACTTTTAATGTCAGCATTAAGTGTGATTTTTTTAGTATTCTGCAATGGTTAGGCTTGTGAGCCTGTTTCATTAAAGCTCTCACACTAATTGAACTAGCTTTCCAGTTCATACATATAGAGTGATTCATTAATCACTTGTCCTCATTACGCATCTGATCACTTCTCCATAATGCGTCCAAGGGGGACATTACGATGCTTTGCCCAGAGTTAGGGAATGGATTGTACAATTAGTTGTACGTTGTCACCCTGATGGTTGCAAAAAGATAGGCAATTTTTCCCTTATGGGCAAATCTGATGTCACACCTTTCAATCAACAAAGGTTTTGCCACATATTCTAGGATGACATACACATCTGTAATCACCTAACAGCTATAGGATCGAGCTGCAACTTGCATAAGTGATTAGACTACAACAGACATAAATAGAACTGGAAAAAATTGTTGGAGTAGTATTTAAAGAACATCCCAGCCAGCATGGCAAGTAGCCATGCTATCTACATTTCTGGGAAGTTGCCTAAAACAAGAGAGTTGAGACTAGTAATTTGAGTGCTGGACTTGAATACTGGGAGACCAGGGTTCAAATACCTAGTCAACCACAGAAAGCCACTGAATTACACTCTCTTAGCCAGCATTTCTTAACCTGGGGGTCGGGACCCCTAAGGGAGTCGCAAGTGGGGTGTCAGAGGAGTCACCAAAGACCATCAGAAAATGCAGTACCATCAGAAAATGCAGTATTTTCTGTTGGCCATGTGTGGTACGTTTGGCCCAATTCTATCATTGCTGGGGTTGACAATGCTCTTTGATTGCAGATGAACTATAAATCCCAGCAACTACAACTCCCAAATGTCAAGGTCTCTTTTCCCCAAACTTGACCAGTGTTCACATTTGGGAATATTGAATACTTGTTCCAAGTTTGGTCCAGATTCATCATTGTTTGAGTCCATAGTACTCTCTGGATGTAGATGAACTACTACTCCAAAACTCAAGGTCATTGCCCACCAAACCCTTCCAGTATTTTCTGTTGGTAATGAAAGTTCTGTGTGCCAGGTTTGGTTCAATTACATCGTTGGTGAAGTTCATAATGCTCTTTGATTGTAGGTGAACTATAAATCCCAGCATCTACAATTCCCAAATGACAAAACAAATCCCCCCCAACCCCACCAGTATTCAAATTTAGGTGTATCGGGTATTTGTGCCAAATTTGGTCTAGTGAATGAAAATCCATCCTGCATATCAGATATTTAAATTATGATTCATAACAGTAGCAAAATTACAGTTATGAAGTTGCAACAAAAATAATTGTATGGTTGGGGATCACCACAACATGAGGAATGGTATTAAGGGGTCATAGCATTAGGAAAGTTGAGAACTACTCCTCTAAGCTAAGAGGAAGGCAATGGCAAACCTCTTATGAATAAATCTTGCCAAGCAAACCATAGAGTAAGTTGTGATAAGTTGGACTTGACATGAAGACATGTAACAAAAACAGTACATTAAAAAAAACCAAAGATATCCCAGCAGAAAGCATACCCATGCCCTTCAGACAAAATAAATTTCAATGCTTATTAGTATTCAAAATCCTAGTATATTGGAATGAAGTGGCATGTGGCTGGCTATGTGTGGACCAACCTGTGCTGAACATGTGAGTGACTGAACTGAAGCCATGAACAATGTGCAATCTGAAGCAGCACTAGCTTTTTTATCAGGATACTAGTCATATCCAGCTCCCTTAGTTTTCCTCTTAGGGCATAGTTCCCAGACCTTTTCCCATTTTGACCACCTTCTTTGGACACATTCTCACAAAACTGAATCCTGCATGATAAGGAGATGTGCAAAATTTCCAAAGGTATAGCAGTTTCTTGATTGCAGCAGTGATTCCCTTTACAGAATGTGAATGCTCTGTTTCAAGTTTGAAGAACTTTCTTAACAGGGATTTGTCTCAGTTCCTCTTGACAGGTTTAGATTCATCATTTGTATTTGCAGCCAGCCTCAGGTATTCTAGTTACCAGGTGTTGGGTTGCTAAATGTCTAATGAGAGCTGAAAATATTCTTGTTTGACATGGCTTTTCTTCTCCTCCTGGCCTTCTCCCAAGGCTTTTTCTTCTGAGAAATGACCTGATGCTGTGGCAGTTTACTTCCCTGGCTGTGAATGCTAATGATTTTGCAAAACAGCTCACTGATAACTTCTATACGAACCTTTCTGATGTCTTAGTCTATCTGCAGATATTCCTTCTATTTCTGAATGTTGAGCTAAGGGCTTGATTCTACAAGGTTAACCATAGTGTAAGAGCCCTGCACACGCAAAACTCCACTACAGCTCCCCATTTCATCACCCAATGATCATTCCTCATATTCTAACATTTCACAGATAAAACCCAGGATGCATGCAACCAAGCAACACCAGAGAGTGGCCAGGAGGGGAAAATTTATAAATAAGGAAGGATACACAAGCTAGGAGGGGCTGCAGGAATTTCCTTTTGCCTAAGTCTGTTGGGAAGGGCAAGGCTCTGGCTCCAGCTCTCCATTAACCACATTGAGTCGAATGATTGTAATTACTTTTTCTTCTGTACTAACTTGGTAAACTATTTTTTGACCATTGTTAAAATATTCCCACATATTCTTACATTTCTGCACTGCAGCAGGTATAATAGATTCTTCTCCATTAATTAAATATCATGCGGCAGGTAAAAAAAGCCAATGGGATTTTGGCCTGCATAAATAGGAGTATTGTGTCTAGATCCAGGGAAATCATGCTACCCCTCTATTCTGCCTTGGTCAGACCACATTACCTGGAATCACACTGTGTTCAATTCTGGGCACCACAGTTGAAGGGAGATTTTGACAAGCTGGAATGTGCCCACAGGAGGGGTACTGAAATGGTCAAGGGTCTGGAGAACAAGCCCTATGAGGAGCAGCTTAAAGAGCTGGGCATGTTTAGCCTGCAACAGAGAAGGCTAAGAGGAGACATGATGGCCATGTATAAATATGTGAGGGGAAGTCATAGGTAGGAGGGAGCAGGCTCGTTTTCTGCTGCTCTGGAGATGCGGAACAATGACTTCAAACTACAGGAAAGAAGATTCCACCTGAACATTAAGGAGAACTTCCTAACTGTGAGAGCTGTTCAGCAGCTCTCACAGTTAGACTCCTTCTTTGGAGGCTTTTGAACAGTGGCTGGATGGCCATCTGTCAGGGGTGCTTTGAATGCAGTTTTCCTGCTTCTTGGCAGGGCATTGGATTGGATGGTCCACAAGGTCCCTTCCAGCTCTATGATTCTAAGTCTGCTGGGAAGGGCACTGCTCTGGCTCCAAGTCTCCACTAAGCACATTGAGCTGAATGATTGTTATTACATTTTATTCTGAACTCACTTGGTGAACTATTTTTTGACCATTGTTCAAATATTTCCACATATTCTTGCATTCCTGCACTGCATGAAGTATAATATACTCTTCTCCATTAATTAAATTGCAAGTACTTTTTCTTTTCAAACAGGATAAATTGGTTAGTTGTCCAGCCGGCTGAAAGATAAACAGAAAGGCAGAGGGAGAGGGAAGCAACTTATCTCTCTTGCCCTGGAATAGGGAGGCAGAAGAGCTTTGGATGTAGTAGACAAATTGTCATGGGTTTGCTGCCCTCTCCCTCCCTCTCTCCTTTTCTTGCTTTATTAAAAATCCTTTACACTTACCAATAATTCAATTTGCTAAGTTATCCAAGTACAGAAACATCTCTTCAGAGTGTCTGGTCCAATCTAAGCCTTTTCATAAGAGGGTTCAATAGATTATATTTGCTGCCAATTATGTTCCTTTTAGATATGTATGCGTACAGATGGCTTTGTGACGCTGATGGCTTTGCAGTGAGCAATTTTCTGAGATGTAGGATGTGCTCTGTATCCACTTATCAAACTCATAAGGACATGTTTTTTAGGTAGACCTACCTAGACCTATGTGCAACTAGGCGTCCT